AAGCAACCAAGACGTCCTTCAGTAGATAAATGGATAAACTGTATAGCACATCAGGCAATGGTATGTCATTTAACAATGAAAGCAAATGAGCTACCAAGCCATGAAAAGACATGGAAGAACATTAAATTCATATTACTAAGTGAAAGACGCCAACCTAAAAGACTATATACTGTATGATTCCAAGTATGTGACATTCTGGAGAAGGCAAAACTATGGGGATAGTAAAAAAATCCGTATTGTTGGGGCTGTGATTGAGGAGAAGGAGTAAAGCAGCAGAGCACAGAGGATTTCTAGAACAGTGAAAAACTACTCTGCATGATACCATTATGTGGATACATGTCATTATACATTTCTCCAAATCTATAGAGAGTTTACAGCATCAAAGGTAAAATATGGCCTTCGGATGATTATGATGTCTCAGTGTAGATTGTAACAAATGTACCACTGTGGTGGGGAGTGGAAGTGTGTTGATAACGGGGGAAGCTTTGAATATGTGGGGGAAGGAAGTATATACAAAAATATCTCTCCCTTCAAATTGTGTTTTAAGCCTAAAAATTAACTTAAAAATGAATGTTATTAATTAATTTTTAAATAATATGTGACAAAGATTAAAGAAGTACCGAAGAGAAGTCAAAAATTCTAAACTATATTGGGAGAATTTTATATGTTTCTCAGTAATTTATAGTACAAGCACTCAAAAAATCAGTAAGAACATGGTTTGACAAACCAATTTAATAACATTTGCTTAAAAGACATGTATAATACACTCAATGACTGGAGAATGCACATTACCCTCGTACACATACAGGACATTGACAAAACTAACTTACACTGGCCTGATTTCAGGTCTCAAAAATTTCTTAAGGATTGAAATCACGTGCAGTGTGCTTTCTGAATAAAATATAATAAACTATAAATGAACCATAATAAGATAAGCAGATAGTCTTTATTTTCTTGAAAATTAAGAAACATCTGAAAAATTCATGAGTCAAAAATCATAAATATTAAAAAATAACAAAAAATCTATGTATTGCAGTATAAAAGCAATCCTTAATAAAATTTTTAAAACTAAAACAATTCATCAAAAAAGATACATTTTTTGAAAGAAATTTGATTAACTCCTGCCAAGTCTCATTATGAAAATGAAAGAAAAAGCACAAACAACTAGTATCAAGAATTAAAATGGGGCAGGATGACAAATGATCCAAACTAAAACTGTAGTAAGGGAATATTGTGAACAACCATATGGCAGTACACTTGAAAATTTGGAGAAAGTGGACAGTTCCTAGGAAAATATAATACCCAGACTGAACTTGTCTCTGATGTTTGCCTAACATGGTAGGCAAACAACCAGGATGGAAAAAAATTTCCAACTGTGATAGTATTTTTTAAATCATGTGCCAAAGAATGTGTCTCCCAAAAAAGGTACAAGACTTTATCAGGGAAACTGTAAAACTCTATCAGGAAATGTTAAAGAAAAAACTATAAATAATATATGAATTGAAAGACTAAATTTCAAAGATTTAAATTCTCCCAAAATTAACAGTGGATAATATGTAATCTCAATTAAATCCCAAGAGGTATTTATGGACACTGACAAGCAGAATCTAAAAATGTATGGAAAGGCCAAATCCTCAAATAGCCAAAACACATTCAACAAAGATGATTAAATTGAGAGAGCCTGCCAAACACCATAACTTATTATTAATACACTCTTATTATGGAGCTTACACAAATGAGAGTGAATATATTGTGGTGCGGTATGATATCATATGATATGGATGGGATGAGATGAGAAAAGATGACATTGTAGTAATTCTAGGATAGGGTAGGGTAGGGTAGAGTACAGAAATTGACAAGCGATAGAGACCGCTGTATATATGCTTAATTGAAATTATAAGAGAAATCGCATTCTAAATCAGTGGAAAATAGGTAGACTTTTCAATAAATTTTAAACAGTTATCTATACTAAAACATTTATTATGTCCATATTAAAGATCTAAATATATGAAGCAAAATTATAAAACTTACAGAAGACAATGTGGAAGAATATAACATTGGATATGGAATTATTTCTTTAACAATATGCAAAAGTACTGGTCATCTTGATATATTTACATTAAAGTTAAGAATCTCTATGAAACCAAAATGTCAAAATAGGAGTGAAACAACAGCCCACAGAGATGGAGAAGGTATTTGCCACACATATAATCAATAAAGGTCCCATATCCATAATAAATAATTCCTAAAAGTCATTAAAATTCCAATAGCCTATTAGAAAAAAATAAATAAGAAGCTTTAACATATTCTTCACAAAGAAATCTAAAAACTTATGAACATATATAAAGGTGTTTAATCTCATTTTGTAGCAAATAAATACAAATTTAATCTACAAAGTTAAAAAAAAAGCCTAACAATCAGAATTGGCAAAGAAGAAGTCAAACTTTCACTTTTCTCAGACGACATGATACTCTACATAAAAACCCGACAGACTCCACCAGAAGCCTACTAGAACTGATCCAAGAATCAGTTATGAAGGAAATAACCTATGAAGGAAATTGAAGAAGACACAAAGAAATGAAAAACATCCCATGCTCATGGATTGGAAGAATAAATTTAGTTAAAATGTCATTACTATCCAAAGCAATCTACACATTCAATGCAATTCCAATCAAAATTGCACCAGCATTCTTCTCAAAACTAGAACAAATTATCCTAAAATTTCTATGGAATCACAAAAGACCCCGAACAGCCAAAGTAATATTGAAGAAGAAAACCAAAGCAGGAGGTATCATCGTCCCTGACTTTAGCCTCTACTACAAAGCTGTCATCATCAAAACAGTATGCTATTGGCACAAAAACAGACACACAGACCAATGGAATAGAATTGAGAACTCAGAATTGGACCCAAAAGTATACAGCCAACTAATCTTTGACAAAGCAGGAAAGAATACCCGGAAAAAAGAGTGCCTAACAAAATAGTGTTGGGAGAACTGGACAGCAACATGCAGAAGAATGAAACTAGATCATTTTCTCACACCATACACAAAAATAAACTCAAAATGGATAAAGGACCTGAACATGAGACAGGAAACCATCAAAACCCTAGAGGAGAAAGCAGGAAACAGCTTCTTTGACCTCCACCGCAGGAGCTTCTTACTTGACACATCCCCAAAAGCAAGGGAATCAAGAGCAAAAATAAACTGTTGGGGCCTCATCAAGATTAAAAGCTTCTGCACAGCAGAGGAAACAATCCATAAAACTAATAGGCAACCGATGGAATGGGAAAAGATAGTTGCAAATGACATCAGATAAAGAGTTAATATCCAAAATCTATAAGGAACTCACCAAACTCCACACCCAAAAAACAGTGAAGAAATGGGCAGAAGATATGAACAGACACTTCTCCAAAGAGGACATCCAGATGGCCAACAGACACATGGAACGATGCTCAGCATCCCTCCTCATCAGGGAAATACAAATCAAAATCACACTGAGATACCACCTCACGCCGGTCAGAGTGGCTAAAATGAGCAAATCAGAGAACTCTAGATGCTGGCGAGGATGTGGAGAAACGGGCACCCTCCTACACTGTTGGTGGGAATGTAAACTGGTACAGCCTCTCTGGAAAACAGTGTGGAGGTTCCTCAAAAAATTACCAATAGAACTCTCCTATGACCCAGCAATAGCACTGCTAGGAATTTACCCAAGGGATACAGAAATGCTGATGCATAGGAGCACATGTACCCCAATGTTCATAGCAGCACTCTCTACAATAGCCAAAACATGGAATGAGCCTATGTGTCCATCAACAGACGAATGGATCAAGAATATGTCGTTTATCTATACCATGGAATACTACATGGCAATGAGAAAGAATGAAATCTGGCCATGTGTAGCAACATGGATGGAACTTGAGGGTGTTATGCTGAGTGAAATAAGCCGGCAGAGAAGGACAAATATCATATGTTTGCACATATAGGAGGATTAGGAGGAATTTAATGGAGGATCTCAGGGGAGAAGAAGTGGGGAAATAGTGGGGGGGGGCGCGGAGAGAAGCAAACAATGAGAGACTCTTGAAAGCTGAGAACAAACTGAGGGCAGATGGGGGTAGTGGGAGGAGAAGGGGGGAATTTGGCATGGAGGAGGGCACTAGTGGGGATGAGCACTGGGTTTTATATGGAAACCAACTTGACAATAAACTATTTGTAAAAAAATTAAAATATTTAAAAATTTTAAAAAAGCCTAACAAACCAAGATTTGGAAAACACATAACCAATAGGACTTATATTTTGTTGATTGAAGTATAATTTAGTACAATCAATTGGAAAAAATATTACATATGGTGGACTTGAAGATATCTATTTCATACAATCTTTCAAATACATTTTTAGATGCTTGCTCCGTAGGAGCTTATACAAGGATAGTCAGAGCAGTGTTTTTCTTAATAACCCCAAACCAGAAATAGCCCATGTGTACAGCAACAATGGAATGGATAAACTCTAATACATCCATACTTTGGAAAACAATATGGCACTGAAAAATAATGAAGTGCACCTGTTCACAGCAACATAGATGAATCTCATAAACAATATTGAGCCAACAAACACAAAAGATACCTACTGAACTGTAGCAAGCAAAGCTATACTATAATGCTTAATAATAGGTAGTAAGAATTTTAAAGGAAATCAAGAAAGTCAACGTTATAAACTTTAGCATAATGGTTATTCCTAAGAGAAGAGACTTTTGAGGAAAACTCATATGTAAGCAGTGTTCTATTTTTTTAATGATCAGATGTCACATGGAATATGTATTTATATTTTTATTTATAGAATAATTTTAAATAATTTATGCATAATGTATATAAAATATAATTTATATAATATTTATGTGTTTATAATTAATTATAAATCTTGAAACTATAAACATCTGGTATAACCCATATTTTTTGTAAATTGTATATATCCCAACAAAATAAAAATGACAAAAAAGAGCTTTCAGTGCTCTCGTTGCAGCACATATACTAAAATTGGAATGATATAGAGGAAATTAGCTAGGCCCTGCACAAGGATGAAATGCAAATTCATGAAGTGTTCCATATTTTGCTTTCCTTCCTAATGCTGATGAATGACAAAATATGTCTATGATACACAAAGTGACTTGATCAATTTAAGTCTCTTCCAGCTTCAAATCCCGCTCCAACTTCTCCTTTAAAAAAGAGCTTCCACATATCAATATTTATATAAGTAGCTTAAAGCCAAAAATTAATTTTGTAGGGAAGAGTTGTAATGCCAATCTTGACTTTTTTCCTCACTAGAATGTAAGTAGATTAATAATATTTTTACCTATCTTTTCCTTTTTTTAATTATTATTATTTTTAATATTTTATTTATTTTTTAGAGAGAGAGCAAGAGCAGGAGAGGGTCAGAGAGAGAGGGAGACACAGAATCCGAAGACAGGCTCCAGGCTCTGAGCTGTCAGCACAGAGCCCAATGCGGGGCTCTAACCCACTAACCGTGAGATCATGATCTAAGCTAAAGTCCGACGCTTAACCGACTGAGCCACCCAGGCACCTTAATTATTTTTTAAAAAATATTTAGTTTTGAGAGACAGAGAGGAAGCAGGGGAGGGGCAGAGAGAGAGGGAGACACAGGACCTGAAGCAGGCTGCAGGCTTTAAGCTGTCAGCACAGAGCCCGTTGCTGGGCTTGAACTCACCTCGAGATCATGGCCTGAGCTACAGTGGGACACTTAACCGACTGAGCCACCCAGGTGATTCTGCCCTACTTTTCAGTTAAATGAAATCAATGAATGGAGGTCCTTATTCATTTACAAATGAACTTCTGCTACCTGAAATAAAAATCTTTCTAAACAAAATATAATGAAAGAAAAAATTTTGCATTAATAAGGCATACACTTAGAAAACTTTTAAATCTTAAGTGTATGAAGATACTTGTTTAAAATATAACTTACGGAGAACAGTATGTTTGGGACCAGGTTTATTTGCCTCTAATATATTTGTCATTCAAACTGTGAAAGAAAATTATTTTTACTTATATTTACTATTGCTTTTTATAATGCAATATTTTAATATAATTCAATATTTTATTTGATGTTAGATCTGTAACGGAAGCATATCCATATTCTTTTTGACAAGTAGAAAAATCATCACATGCAGAAAACTAATAGTTAATGAGAAATGCATTATGAGTGTATTAACATATGTGCTATGAGTGTTTCTGTTTTGCACCTATAAAAAACAATGATTATAATGATATAAAAATGTTTAATTGGGTCCATCAATTAGTGTATCTATCATCAGCATATCAATACACTACTACTTATTGGCTTCTTTTGAAGTAAAACTAGTAAAGGAAATTAATCATATACTTGGCCCTCAATTAAGATATGTACATAAATGAGTAGAATTAAAGATGTCTCTTTACCAAAGTAGAAGCTTTTATATACAGCAAGAACCTGAAGTCCAACTATACAAACAAACAAACAAAAAACAGGTGGAAGTAATATTTATGTGGCCCTATGACCATGATATTTTGAGAGCCAGCCTACTTATATCACCGGCCTCTCCGTTAGTCCATTGGGTGGGCCCTAGTTTGGATGACCTAGTATATTAACACTCCCTGAGGGAGTCTAGATTGGATAAGGGAATATTTTCCAACAGTAATTAAATTGAGAGAGTGAAACAGGAGAGAATCATGTCAATGGAAACTCCTTCATGGTTATTACTGAGCAATTGCTAAAAATTATTTGAAATAACTTGAAATCAATTAGGACTGTTTACCCTTGTTATCTTTTGGAAATTAACTTTTTTTTTAATTAAAGACACACTAAAATCCTCATATATTATGAAATAAAATACATTTAAAAAATACCTGTTACAGGTTTAGAATTCTGGTAAGGAGGACTCCTGGACTCCCCCAGAAAATTGTTCTTTCTAGTTTTGTGGTTAATCCTGGAATCTTTCCAGTGACCCCCGGAACTTTAGTCTTGGCCTGGATTTGGAGACTCCTACAGATAGTGTCACCTCCTGCATAGCTAAATCTTGGCCCGTGGCAACTGAGATAGCGTTATATAGAGGAAAAAACTGAGGCAGAGAGAAGGTAGATAATTTGCCCAACATTACACAATTAGTAGGTGAAAAAGCCAACTTATAACATGCAAGATAGATGCTAGCAGATAGATGACTCTGGTGTAGCCTCTCCAATATAGACTGAATTAATTTGTTCTATAATCAGTTTCTCATATGTCACAATTCCAGAACCTCTTCTAATGAAAAATTAAGTGGTGTGCCAGATTTATAGGAAACACAGAAAGCAATCTTAGACAGTGGCTACCAGGTACTTCTAAAAACATTATCCTGTTAACACTTAATATTACTTAGAAATGGGTAAATCTGCTAAAACCATGACAGTGAAGGATGAGTACTGAATTTTCCTTTTACCCTAGGTTCCAATATGGGTTGGCATAGCACTGTTACTGATCCTGTCATTTAAAGCTTTTTTGTTTACCATGGATTTTTGCATTAATTTTTATTTAAAATATTACGTTAAAATATTATTAACCTTGATTCCTGAGATTTTTGTTACCCCCTTAACTTTTGTTCCTGAAGTATTTCATTTGCCCCACTTGACTTACCCTAGCCCCCACCCTAGTTAACAATATGGAGACATATAATACATTAATGTGGCTATACATATGACTGTATAACTTTATATTGGTCTCGCAGAAGAAGCTGAAGGACTACTCTTTTTGTAATATTTGGTACACCACTATAAAAATATTCATGAGGAGATTAAATTCCACTGAATATACAAATGGCAAAGAGTATCCTTTCTGGTAGAAATATATAGTAGTTGAATACAGAAGACCTATTGTAATTGGTTAATAAGAATAACTACATCCACTTTGTGAATCTTTATGTTATTTCAGAGGGATTCACTTAAATGTAACACTTCTATAATGTTGAAAATAGCATCTGCAAAATCTATATATTTTAAAAGATAATTTAGTAACTAACTTTCCTTTACTTTCATAATGATCATTTATTCATATACTTTATGTATCACCCAAACCCCAAAGAGACAAATTTTGAGAATTAGTGTAAATGTCAGAAACTAGCAAATATTTTTCATTCTAGTACTTTTTTTTAAGCCTCCCTGCCATAAAATATAGTGAAATATGTAAAGGAGTGATTAGTGCTGCAGTTAGCCTTTGACCCTTACATACAGCTTTGGCTCTATTCCCAAAATTTCTGTTTTTAAAGTTTTGCAACAACAATCCTTTTCTTTATTCATGCAATAATTTTCCTTAGTGATCAATTACATATTTATTTAAATATATCTCAAAAGAATAGGAATGTTGCTTGTCACACACAAACAGCTCTTAGAGTTACTGGTTTCATGCCAATGCCGTCAACTTTCCAACAACAGATTGGATTGGTTAAGGAAGAAGCCATAAACAGCCTATCAACAAGTATTTATACAGATGTTAATTGATTTAAAATGCTGTCAGTGTAACATTTATGCCAAACTCCAATTTTATTTGTGCTTTATTTGTGAGGTATGATGCAATAACTTCTTTTAATAAACATGTACAGACCACTTATACTTTATAATGGAAACATATTTTTAGTGTTTCCAACATGAGATACATAGAATCAGCCATTTATCAAAATTACCAAAAATATTTCCAATGCATATAGCCTTTTGCTCATCATGCAACTATGTCCTCCAACAGCTTTTGGTAAAGAGATGAACTCATCCCTATCCGTGAAACCAAGAAAATTTTTTATTATATTACTAAGAAAGGCCATTAAGGGAAAAGAAAATAGTCATGGGAAAGTTGCCATATTACTTAAAATATAAATAATTAGCTTTTTCTTGTCCCAAATAATAATTGAATCTTAACCTCTCTCTGTATAGGATATTATGATATACTGAAAATTTAGAAAACATTTATTTGAAGCATATGGGTTTAATGAACACATTTTTTTCATGAAGAAAAGAATAATATTTCCATTAATTTCAAAAGAGACTTCATTTCTTTTGGTGATCTTTCTAAGCTAAACTGTGTTTCTCTAGGATTGCATATACTATGGACATTTTATAAAGTAGTCTTATATGATGGGGTAGTTTTTGTTTGTTTGTTTGTTTGTTTAATTTGCCATCTTTCATTGGCAGTTTTAATCCCAAACTAATTACGACTTTCAGGGCTGAGGTTTCTATTGCAATGATTAAGTTAATTACGTATGGGAATATGTTATCCTCCACAATGCACAAGGTTTATCTACATGCTAAAAATCTAAATCCCAACTCTACATTTCTCAGGCCACTTAACACAACAGTACTCAATTGACAACTATTCCTTCATTTCTCAGATATTTATTGAGCACCATCCTGCTATGTACCCCTTAGAGAGCTTATATATAGTAAGCAAAACAGACAAATGAATAGGAAAGGAAAATAGAACATAATAAATGCTAATGGAATCTTTATAGGAATCTTTGGAGGACATCTCCAAGTTAATTTGAATAGGGAATGCAGTTTTGGCAGATCAAGGACTTACCCCAAAGAATATACTTTCTAAACTGAGACCTAAAGACATGAAACAAAAACACCATTGGCAAAGTGGGTAATCTGAAGCATAGACCTATAGGCAAAAGAAACCATTCTGAGTAATTACAATATATTTGAGTGATTGAGGCAAAAATCTAACATGTGTCTAAACGTATATGCATGGATTGTATTCCATGCAAAAAAAAAAAAAAAATGAACTTAATCCAAAGGCAATGGAGAACCAGGAGTTTAACCTATGAAACAGCAAAATTGGATTTATGTTTTAACAAGGCCTTTTACAGTACAGAGATAGGTATATGGGAGGAAGACCAAACAAACAAACAAAGAAAAAGACCAGTGAGAGGGCTGTTAAAGTAATTCAGAAGAAATGATGGTAGCCTGACATAAAATAGTGGCAACAGGAATTCAGGAAATCTGACAGATTGAAAAGAATTTAGGAGGTAAAATATGTGATTGTAGAGTGTGGAAGAATGCTGGTTCAGTACAACTCTGGTCTCTGACATACATTGA